CAAACTTTCGTCCAAATCCATTCAGCCGTTTTCGAGAATTCCTGCCGACAAACTCACACACACACAGGGGTGAAAACATAATCTCCGTGTCGGATGTAATATAGTAACAGTTTCTCACTCATTACCCAACCATATATTTATTACTTTTCCCGTTGATTGTTTTACTGAAGTCCAAAATACTGAGTTCTTATAAAATTATTTGCAACACATTGTTCCATTTCATTTTGATTGAAATTTATTCTCTGCCCAGAATTGCTCCCAGTGGCACAGCGGTATGTCTGCGGACTTACAACGCTAGAAACCGGGTTTCGATACCCATGGTGGGCAGAGCACAGATAGCCCATTGTGTAGCTTTGTGTTTAACTTCAAACAAACAAACAGTCCAGAATGTTTCTGTTTACAATATTTATTGGGCCCTAAATTGAAAGATGTATGTTTGTTGTTAAGCGCAAAGCTGCACAATGGAGTATCAGCACTGTGCTTTCCGTATGGATCTAACCCAAAACTTAAATGTTATGAGCCCTTAAAATTACAGCTTCGGATTCAGAATAAAATATCTCAGGAACTTTTCATCCCACCATATATCGCGGCTTTATAAGAAACAGAAACTTTGTTTGAGTTAAACTAAAGTGGTGTAGCAAAATATTAAACCTTGAAAAAAATTGAAAACTTGACTTTTATTATTATTATTATATTTCCATATGGAATCTCGAGTGAATGTTCTTTTTAATAATTAAAAATAAAACTATCAATTACACTGTTACTGTGATTACCCTTATAAGGATAGCGTAAAACTAAGTTATAATTCGCTTATTTAGTTTTGTTTTGGGGGTCAAAACCGAGGATACTGCGACACAGCAAGCTGTTATTTTTCATATCATGTTTCTGTATCAGTGACCAGTCAAGAACGTTTTGATGTATAGCTGTCAAGAGGACAGCGCGTACTTAAAACTACATGCTGTGATTAGGGTCGACGTTTACAGCTCAATTACATAAGGTCTAGATAAATTGTCTTTCTTAAGTGTTTAAATTTCCAAAATTTTAAGATTGTAATAAAAATGATTAAAAATGGTGCTCTGGCATAGGATAAGAGCAAAAATGTGGAACGTTACGAATACGTATTTGGCACCATCTGTTGAGTAGGAAAGGAATTATGGCAGAACACACATTTCCCTTTATTCTGGTTATGGAATTAATTCAAATTGACCACTTAGAAAATATTAACCTATATTTTCATCTCTATAGATGTATAAATTCCTGTTTTTCGGAAGATGGTCACTTTACACATGTGTCATATTTTCACACATTACCGAAAAAAAACTTAAATATACTCTAATTCAGTTTATTTTATTCTCTATACACAGAGTCCAATTTTAACAGATGTTTTTATCTTACTCATAACATCACTTGTGCATGTATTTACATAATCAATGGATAAATATGTTTGTATAATTACTTTCCAATGAGAATTCCAAGTCCCATGGGTAGTAGAATTGGTACATCTGACGCTTCTGGTTTAGAAACGTTAGATTTAAATAGGCTATATGGGATCACATGTTGGTTGACGGGAAGACATTTTGAGGAAAATCTGTTGGTTAATTCACAAGTTCAATAAAAGGCGACCGTATAGTGTCTAACACAATTATGCGCACTCTGCTTTGTGTGTCAGGTATAAAGACTGTTCTCGCCCCCCAGTGGCACAGCGGTATGTCTGCGGACTTACAACGCTAGAAACCGGGTTTCGATACCCGTGGTGGGAAGAGCACAGATAGCCCTTGTGTAGCTTTGTGCATAATTAAAAACAAACAAACAAACTGTTCTCATTTTGTATTACACATCGTCTATTTCTTAGCTTAAACTCATGCAATCGGTTTAATTCGGTTTCAGTTCGTGATTTATCTTGATGATCTTCGCGTTATAAAATGAACCTACTTAAAACTCTTTTGGGAAGTCAGTTATCCCTCAGAATACCCCACTATGTTATACCCGTGTACATAACTGGCTAAATACACATGTTAATAGAACTATTTGAGATGTAGAAAATGTCATCTGGAAAAAAATCAGCTAGAGAAATCTAAAAAAAAGATTTTTGTTGATCATCCTGGTAATATAATCTTAAATCTATGTTTTCAGTGAAATAATACAGTTTGTGTTGATCCGTGGCTTAAAGGCTAAAATTTGAGAACTATCTTTTACTTTCGAACAGTTGATGCAGCACGTGTAAAAAAAATCTAGTAGGTCAGGAATGAATCTTTTAACAGCGTATGTGGAATTTCTTTACCATCGTTTAAAAAATATCATTCTGAAAGCAAACCTTTAAATGTAAGTAAGAATGAATGTCGAGCTATAAAATTTTATGAAAAAAAATTAAATATAGTATTAAAACAAAACGAAAATGGGTATCTTTATAAACATGAATGTAGCTTGCAACAATTTTCAAACTTGCAAATATGAAATCAACGTCATTTTCACGCACTGAGAAGCATGTGCGAAACAAGTGTAATGAATCTTTGACTAAAGGAATGTTTAGAATCCTCGCAAAATAAAATAATGAACGGGAGTTGTGTAAAAAATTAGTTTGTTAATGAACAGTTTTCACCAGGTTGAATGAGGAAAATAGTATAGTTTGTTTGTTATGAACTATTTCCCCCAGAAAAGTGATGAGAAACTAGATAGGTCTAGACACTGCTTAATGAAAGCACTTTTAAAATTACCCTTTCTGCTCAAGATAATATTGTAAATACAGATTTGAGTGAATAAAAGTTTTACGTTTTGTTTGTGATCTCACCATTTAAGTGGATCCACTCTAATGTTATAAGTGCGAAACCAATACCATAATGACAAGAAGCATCAGTTCTCTTAGACCAGCTGAAAAGAAGTTTTGGATAAGTTCGCAGTGTCTAATGTTTTCACCTGTGTGTTTTTGTCAGCAAGATTTCTCGAAAACGGCTCAATAGATATGCACGAAAGTTGGTATATTTTTGGTCTATGACCCATCTTAGAAGAAATTAGTTTGGTAGTAGTGATTAGAATACCTGTTCAATTACAAGCATGATGATTTGATAATTTCATTTCCAAAGAAAAAAAACAGCTCTTGGCAATTAAACTTCTAAATTAGGATTTATCTTAAAGAAATTTGAGTAAAAAACTCGCGTTCATCTGAACTGGAAACGTGATAGTCAAGACGTTAGAGATGTGTTTATTGTAAAACTAAAGTGATCTGCCGTTCTTCACATTTAGAGCTCTATCAGATGGCGTTGAAATAGCTGAACACGATTGAAGGCGACATTGCTCGAAAAATTCATTTTTTAGCTGTTCATGGTGTGGGGTTTGGTAACATAGTGTAAAATTACACGAAAAAACAAGATTTCCCCCCTCAAATTACCTGTCACTAGCTGTTATTTTTTGGTCTAAAAAACTTATCCTTTTAAGTTATTTTTTGCTTGAAAATTTTTAATTAGCTTAAAATCAAGCCAATCATTTCTGTTAAATTCGACATATTTTGTTCCATGTAGTTGAGCCCGACATGGCCAGGTGGTTAGGGCGCTCGACTCGCAATCTGCGGGTCGCGGGTTCGAATCCCCGTCACACCAAACATGCTTGTCCCTTTCAACCGTCGGGTCGTTATAATGTGACGGTCAACCCCACTATTAGTTGGTAAAAGAGTTGGCGGTGGGTGGTGATGACTAGCTGTCTTCCCTCTAGTCTTACACTGATAAATTAGGGACGGCTAGCGCAGATAGCCCTCGTGTAGCTTTGCACGAAATTCAAAAAGAAAATCCACGTTGTTGAATGTTTTTTTAAATATAATAACTTGAAGAACAATATGATTTGAAATCACACATTTGTTGAAAATAATAAGTATTTTGGAATTCCTAAAACATGACATACATAGTTGTGAGTATAAAAAAGAAAACATGGCCACTAGTTAGATGGCTAAACAAAATTCCAATACATAAAACCTTATTAACGATAATATGAAAAACAGCTGAAAGGCTTTTCAGTAATTGTGTAGTAATCATCAGTCTGGTAAAGGCTTCTATTTCTTCATCATCCGTAAAATTGCACATCGGAATTGGAAGCAGACCGAAATTTTTAGAGAAGTCATCTTTGGGAACCTGAAAGCAGAAAACCTCCTTAATTTTGATGCATTCATTGAGCAGCTCTGTGCTTAACAACATCATAACATAAGCTTGACTCACATAATGGTTTATTTTCATGCTAAAAAGGAGAACAACAAGGAAGACAGACGTTTCATGTCAGTTGAAGGTGTAATTTGTATAAACTTTACAAACCCATGCAGTTAAGTGTCCGAAACGAAGCAAATAAGTTCGTTAATATTTAGCCTTACACTACTATATGGTCCATATTTAATGTTTTGTTAGCCCGAGAGCGTCAGTTTAAAATGACAAGAGAAATAAATGATTAACAGAAATGTCAAACGTTTAATGATGCAATTAATTTTAGTCTAGTTCCCAGTGTTTCACAATTCAAGTTAAAAGATGCATAATCTTAAGTGGCATATATATATATATTAAAGTCACGTGTTATCAAGAAAGACGATATAAATTTTGACATTTTATAATACTAATTAACATCACGGAAGATGGCTACATTCAAGAATTATTTTCGAGAGTTCTTTTCACGATTTTTGGTTAAATGCTTTTTTGTTACAATGACAACACACTTGTTAATTACTTCCACACTTACTTCCGAGTAAGTACATTCTAGGGAATCGGTATCGTTTATGGTTAGCAGGACATCTTCCGGCTTAAGACATTCAAGATCATAGTTGTTTGATAACAAGTAGTCGTTCAAGAAATACGGAAGTTGTGGATCCATGTTTGAGACAGATCTTTGAGGTACTTTTGCCACTTCTGTCAAAAAATAAAACCTTTGTACTTTAGGAAGTCTGTAATATGTACAAATTAATTGTTTTTGTTAATTTCAATATAAAGGAAAGACAGTGCAACACAACAATTCTCCTCATTTGAGAAGATCCCCCCACCGATGAACAGCAGTAAGTCTACGGATATACAACGCAAAAATTCGGGGTTCGATTCCTCGCAGTGGACACAAAAGATAGCCCAATGTGGCTTTGCTCTAAAAACAAACTAAAAGCCGCATACCGTCAAAATATAAAAATCTGTTCTTCGCCAATTGTCAAAATAAAAAGGCTTTTAGTTATATTTCTTAATAGTATAAATATATACTATGTTGTTGTTGGGCTTAGGATTCTTCTATAGTAGGTGTCTGTGACTTGTTAGCGATAAATTCTGCGACGAATAAACAGCACGCACTTCACTTATTTTCAAAATAATATATATATATATATTCAGAACAAGTTAATGTATGTATAATAAATTCTTCAACACTATAGATACTATGGGCATATCATAAATACTATATATGTAGTTCTCCCCTTCTTGTCTTTAGAATTTCAGTTCACAAACCAAACTATTCTCTATTTCTATCGTACTTGTATTCTCTGTGATTCACTTACAATGGTGGCGCGAGTCACCGTAATCGTTAGGTCTTCTTTCTTCTGAAGATCCTCTGTTCCTTTTGTCAAAGTGCACTCAGGCTGATTCAATTACTTTAGAACCACGTCAGTCGTTAGGTCTATCACTTCTGAGGTACTTAACTTCACGCCAACTATATTTCCTTTCGCTATTATCTGTCTGTTTGCTGCTTCCCGCTCGTCTCACGCTATATATCTTTATTACCTAATCGTCTGTCCGACTTCTATATTCTCGACGTCAATATATTGCACGTGACGTTCGATATTCTCAACATCAATGAATTATTAACAAAACTTCCTACAATCATCTGCTTTTAACTGTTATTATAACAAAAACAAAACAATAAAATAATATTCGCTCACAAAAATAAATAAATCAATAATACCTAAACCAAACAGTCATTACACATACCATAGATACTAATTCTAATAAATTCAACATTACATAGTAATAAAACTTGTCATAAGTACTCAGTCTTTTACCTAAGGCACATTATAAAACTTAAAAGATGCAGCAGTGTAAAGTTCTGAGTCATAACTTAATAAAAATCTAAATATTCGATAATACAATTCAAGCAAACAATCTTGTTAAAGATGCAGTGTTACAAGTTAATTAAAAGTTGTCTTTATGTTCCATATACCTAACACTTACGTAACTATTTCACTCAACACTGTAAACAACTGATAGGCTTAACGTTAACGAAAATAATGACAGTAGAAACATATATATATATATATATTGCCGATAAGTTTGGCCCTACCTATTTCAGGTGTTGCTATTCTATACCGTTTATAAAGTTTGTCGCTTTTTTGTGGTAGCTCTTGAATTTCTTTCAGGCGATATAAAACGGCACGAAATCGCTGTTTTGCTATTGAATACCGGTGAGGATCTTTTGGATCCCATAAATTTATTTCAAAGACCACTCCTACACACTAGCAAAAAAAAGGTACCTTTTGTAAGAAATATTTCAAGAGCTGGTATGTTAAGTTTAACGGCGAGATGAATGTAGTATTTTATTACAGCCACCCACACATAAACGATGGCAAGGGGTTGTCTTTTCAGACAGACTGGTGAGAGAGTTGACAAAATTTTTTTAAAAATCCGATGTATTGTCCAAAGTGGCCTGGTTGTCAACTAATTATCACTCTCTTATAAAATCACAAATGAATTAAAGAGAGATGTTCCATTTCTTCATATACTTCCCCATTCTTTATAAAACCATTATATTTGTATGCCATATTCCTCGGAGGATAAAACCATGAATAATAAAATCAAGATCGTCAGAACCCAGAGGATTCGATTTAGATTTTCAAATTAAGAGTAAATAACACGAAAACGACGTGTTTTTTTTTTGGCACAATAAAAGGTAAAATAATGGCACTAGCACAGATGATGGTAACTGTGTTACCCTAAACTATTCAGCTGTAGCTAATAACAAAGAGTTTACCTTTCAAAAAACGTTGTTCTTGTGTTATTCACTCTTAATATATTAACACATTGTGCCTGAAAATAAATTAGATTTTCAAAACGATTTACAATTTTTAATGAAGCTCAAAATCGTCAGAACCTAGATGATTCGATTTAAATTGTCAAGATTACACAGAAATTTTAATTAAACCACAGTATATATTATTGTTTTCTTGCCTTCTGAAGGCGCTGAAAATGATACTTTTTTTCGGAATTTTGGATGAATTTAACAAAAAGAAATATTAAGTACTGTATTTTTCGGTGTATAAGACGCACTTTTTTGCCCCAAAATTTGTTGTCAAAATCTGCTTGCATCCTATACACCGAAGGTATGAATAATATATATGTATATATATATATATACGATATACACAAACCATGTGTAAATATATTTAAATAGGCATGCATAGTTTAGTTCAATTGAATGTGTTATTTATAACAATAGTAGTTTTTTCTTTTCAAAACATAACTATTTATAATGCTCCCTAGATAATAAAAGATAAATTACAGTGAAAG